CCTCCTCCTGCTTTAATTTACAACCTCAAATCAAAGGTTGGGAAGAGCTGTGGACTGGTTCCAGTTGGGGCTTTGCCAGTAACTCGTTGGATAGCTCTGGGCAAGTTCTGTTCCCTTTCTGCTTCCCCTTTTTTTCCTCCTCGGTAAAACGGGAGGGTTACTGCAAACTAGGTAAGGGTCCTTCAGACTCAAAAACTCTGATCTCTTACATCTGTAATCCCAGCACTTTGGGAGGCTGAGGTGGGAAGATCGCTTGAGCTCAGAAGTTTGAGACCAGTCTGGGTAACATAGCGACACCCTGTCTCTACAAAACAATTAAAAAAAAAAGCAGCCCGGCATTGTGGGTGCAGGTACTCCAGAGGCTGAGGTGGGAGGATTGCTTGAGCCTGGGAGGTCGAGGCTGCAGTGAGCTGAGATTGTGCCACTGCACTCCAGCCTGAGTGACAGAGCAAGACACTGTCTCAAAATAAATAGATGAATAAAATAATGAAATAAAAATAAAATTCTGATCTCTTTCCAGTCTCATTTCCTTCTCCAGGACCTGGTGTATGCATGAGTTGTCTTCACAGGCGATCTCTTTTCCCTCCCCCTAAATTATTGTTTCTTTTTCCATATTTACCTCCTAGTCTCAGGTTCCAAAGAGCTCCAGCCTGGTCTTACCTCAGCACTGTTTCCTTAAAAACCGAATGTCCTCCTGAATTTTTGCATCAAGCGGGTTTGTCTGACTTCCTATTACTGTTTTCAATGACTCCAGATGCGCCCGATGAACTGACAGACACGTGGAATAACCGTGTACACAAACACGGAGTGCCTCACGGGGAAGTGACTAAGGTGGAGGAAAGCTAACGGATTCGCTGAACTGGAAGTTCCCCGAGGCCTCGCCAACCTCCTTGCACGGGGATACCAACTCCGTGAAGTCCCGCCCCGCAAGCACACGCGAGTTTGTCCAGAGCCAATCAGGGCCTGACGCTTCTCGCGGGAGCTGCTGGGACGTGCAGCCGCATAGGAGAGCGCGCGGGTCTCCAGAGCCTGAGCTAGTCAGAAGCAACCGTCGCTACTGGGTAAGCCAGCCATTGGGAGAATCGGTTTCCTTGGGCAGGTGGTTCCAGACCCCCACCAGTCCTCTAGACTCCAAGCCAATCAGTTGCTAAGGAACATTCCTCTCTCAACCTAGTACGTGCGGGAAGTCAAGGCACTGGCTAAGGAACAAAATGCCCAGTGCTGGACCCCCGGGGCTGGTCAGAAGTCACCTTGTGTACTCCTTGTTTCCTGTCCTGCACCCGAGGCCCCTATCACCAAGAAAACAAGACACACGATGAAGCGTAGCCTCTCTATTCCCATTCCCAAACCCATCTCTGACCTATCTCCAACCCGATCCCCATCCTCTCTCCCATTCCTCTTCTACATTTTATTCTCTTCTTTCCCAGCACTGGCACTCTCCCTCTCCCCAGCCTTATCCGCCTCTCCCTCCCAAGGAGAGGATGTATCTTTAGTAGAAGCAAACACCAAACCTGTTATATAGAGGCTTCTATCCTCAACTCAAAACCTCTGCTGCACAGGATTCTCATACACCTCCACTGAATGTGATTCTCATACAATCTGCACTTTCCAGAATTACAAAGCATAAGAGGAAATAACCCTCCACAAGTGAGGACAAAACCTAGACTTCTTACTAGAGCCCTTGAAGCCCTGAAAGTTCTGGCCCTTCAGGAGTTCATCCCTCTGTCAATTCCAGTCACAGCAGCCTGCTCTGGGCTCCGGAACTCACCAAACTGCTCTCATGTCAGGGCCTACGCTCTACTGCTCCCTCTGTCTAGCCAGCTCCTGAGAATCCTATAGGTCTCAAGACAAGTGTCACTTTCTCTGAGAGGCCTTCTCTGACTCTGTAATCCAACCTAGCTTCCTTTCCTGTGCTTTCTCATAGTATTCTATCCTTTTTTCTTTCTAGCACTTATCAACATTTTAAGCTATACAGTTGTCTGCTTTTCTTCATTGTCTATCTGTGTAGACCATGACTCCATGGAGGCAGGGTCAGCGTCTTACTTCTTCCCCTCATTATCTGGCAAATCTGATACTTCTGTGAAATGTGAACTGTCTGTGAGAGGTGCTTGTACACGTGGGGGCTAACAGAAATGTCCACCCTGAGTATAAGATGACCATCTAGTTGGTGCTACAGGGTCACTGTATTTACTCACAAATATTGCCCCAGGGAAGAGATGACCCTCTTTCAACCCACTAAACACTACTAGCATCTGGCCAGGCACAGTGGCTCACACCTGTAATCCCAGCACTTTGGGCAGCAGGGGTGGGTGGATCACCTGAGGTCAGGAGTTCAAGACCAGCCTGGCCTACATGGTGAAACCCCGTCTCTACTAAAACTATAAAAAATTAGCTGGGCGTGGTGGTGCACGCCTGTAATCCCAGCTACTCGGGAGGCTGAGGCAGGAGAATCACTTGAACCCGGGAGGCAGAGGTTGCAGTGAGCCGAGATCACACCATTGCACTCCAGCTTGGGAAACAAGAGCGAAACTCTGTCTGAAAAAAAGAAAAAAAAAAATCTACTAGAAGGGAGGTTATCATCCATTCTGAGAGGAACAATACACAGCTGTGGTTCATCCTAATGCCAGAATCCCTTTCTCATTCCTTGCATACCTGCCTTTCAATCTGGCCAAGAACTATTGCAATAACCTCCTAACTAGCATCTTTACCTCCAGCCTTACCCATTCTAAATATATCATATATGGGGTCAGGGTAGGGGAATGATGTTCTTGTATATATCTGGTCACTCTACTTGCTTGCTACGAACCTTACAACAGCTTATAATTAATTAAATCATTTGACAAACATTCTTGAGATCTTATTGTATTTTAGGCATCATTCTGGGTGCTGGTGATAAAAGTAGAAAACAAGGCAGAAAAAGTCCCTGTTCTCTTGGAACTTACATTCTAAGGGAGTCAGGATAAGGTCCTACAAGATAAAGCTCCAATGAATCTTGGCCTTCAGGGCCCATCGTCATGTTTTTTCTCATCTGCATCTCTGAACAGTACTTTTCACCCGCTCTCCACCCAGGTATGGGTCATGTGATGTTTAAAGGTTGGGGAATGAAAGATTTTGTCCAAAGATACACAGCTACCAAGCACTGAAGTTGGGATTCCATTCAGATATGAAGGCTTGAAAGCCTGGTGCTCTTGTAGGTGTATCTCAGGTACTGGCACACAGTAGGCGCTCAAAAGCAACTTGCTGATGGGACTTGATTCATATTGTCACATATATCTTTCCTTCTTTTGACACCTTCCCAGGGTGGCACAGATTTCTTCTGGTTTAGTCAAACAACCAATTGCAAAGTTTGTCTTCAGAGGCTCTAAGACTAGGTCTGAGAGTAAACCCCTATTCAGTGGAGAATGAGTGTAAGGGATGTGTGGGAACTGAGAGGGTTTTGTGAGCTCAGGAGAGTCCGGGGGCTCCAGGTTTATTACAGCCTCCAGGGTTTCTGTGGGCTCTATAAATTTTGCAGACTTTTCTAATTCCAGGGATAATGGTGACTCCAGGTATGATGCACGTTCCACAGGCTTAGCTGGCTCGTTTATCTTGCTTTTCCTGAAAGCGAGGTGCAAAATAGCACAAAGAAAGAAGAATGTTGGAACAGATCTAGAGTTGAGATATCCAAATCTTAAAATGACACCTCTTTGTGCACAGAATTAAAGCAACATGGAGTGAGCACTGGCTTAGCCCTTCCTCACAACCCCATGGTTCGAGCCTGCAACTCGGTCTTCTCCCTCTGACCCGTCTCTGCACATCCTCAGTGCCAATAACACTGACTGTTCCTCAGACTCTTCAGGGAATCTTGCCTGACTTCCTCAGGTAGGTTTGGTCCCTCCCTCTTCTGCACCACCGCAACTCCCTGGCTCAGCATCCCCTACTGTGAAGGTGCCTTCTCCACCAGTCTAGCTGCTCTTGGAGGACAAGGCCTAGGTTTGTCCCATTTCTGAGACCCCAGTATTGCCCAGCACAAAGATTGGGGGATATTGCAGGAAATATTGGTGGAATTAACAGATGGTTTATCCACTAAAGGACACTAACTATTCATGCAGGGTGTCAGGAGGGCAGCAGGGCAATTCTGATTCTGGAGAATCATAAACGGTAAATAACAGTGAGGCCCAGCAACTTCAGACACTGTATCTTCCAAGCCCTGCTGAGGATGTGGGGTACAGGGTGAATGAAGGAGTAACCTGGGCTTGGCCTAATCTCTAACCACTTCAGGCTGACTTGGCCTGTGGCATCTACACCAAGCTGACTGCTGCCAGCCATACACTCAGAGACCAAATCCTTTGGTTTCCACTCTGATGCTACAACTGCTATTAGGATTTTCCACAACTGCTTTTTCAGTGGGGATTCAGTGTGCTGGTGTGTGTGTGTGTAAATTGATTTTAATTGTTCTTTAAATTGTTTCTCTTAACTTTCATCCTTCTCCTCTCTGGGCCTTAGCTTCCTATTTATAAAATGACCTGAAAGCACACTCTAGTGGTACGTATCCTGCAAGACTGAAGATGATAACACCTTCAAAACACTGTGTGCTCCCTTCCCTATGGGTCTTATTATCAGTATTCCGATAGACCAGATTCCAGACACAATAGGTACATACCAATATGTGGCTCTCAGAAAATGTGGTGACTATGGGTTTTCCTGGTTCCTCAGGCTTCAGACACATCTCGAGTTCTTGGCTTGCTCTGACTTTCGAGCTGTTTTTTGCTCTGATTGCTGCAGCTTTCTTCGCCTGCTTCTTTCTGATATGTTTCACTCTAAGGAAATAAACTTTGGATTGGTTCTGGCTCTCCATCTCCCTGAATCCCGACACGGGCTCTACCTTGACCAGAACTTCTGATTTAAAGCCTCAACAACAGTACCAGCTTGCTGTATGACCTAGGGCAAGCCACACATCCTCTCTGGGAGTTAGTTTCACACCCTGAATAATGGGGATACCCTGCTTATTAGGCTGTGGGGCTCAGATGAGGTCAGCTATGAAAGAGCCTTGCAACTGGCAGAGAGATTGTTACTGGTCTTCAAGTCCAGTTGATTATACCTTGAAAATAGCTCCTCAGTTTGCCCTGCCACCTCACTCCTCATCTTTGTCTCCCCATAGCCGGCCATGCCCAAGTCCCACCTCTCTGGCTGCCCCTCATCATGTGCCTCAGGTCAGGCCTTCTATTTCCTGCTTAATCCGCTGTACCAGCTTCCTGCCTGGCCTCTGACCTTCTGTCTCTCACTCTCTAATCTGTGTCCCACCCCAAACTCAAGCTTTCCTTCACAGCTTAGCACTCTTCCTAACAGTGCTCCGAACTGAGGATTCAGTCCAAGCTGTCTGGACAGGCTCCCCCGCCTGACTCTCTGACCTGACTTCCTGCAGCTCAGCCCTTCCCACTCCATGCTTCTAGCTAATACGTGCAGCTAAGTTTTAACACCCTGTGAACCAACACCAAGGACGTCTTTCAACCTCATTTTTAGCCATTACCTGGCACTCTCAATGCACCTGACATTACATAAAGACACTGGAAATGCCTCAAACGTGCCTCCAGGCATCTGCATACAAAGGTTAGGTATCCCTTATCTGAAATGCTTGGGACCAGAAGTGTTTCAGATTTCAATTTTTTTTTTTTTAGATTTTGGAATATTTGTTTATACATAATGACATATCTTGGGGATAGGAGCCAAGTATAAAAACAAAAGTCAGTTATGTTTCATATACACCTTATACACATGGCCTAAAGGTAATTTTATATAATACTTAAAATTATTTTGTGCATGAAATAAAGTTTGTGTACATTGAACTATCACATGAGGTCAGGGGTGGAATTTTCTACTTGTGGCATTATGTTGGTGCCTCGAGAACTTTTGGATTTTGGAGCATTTCGGATCTTGGATTTTTGGATTAGATATTCAACGTGTACTATTAATACTTTCCACCAAGCTAATGAGTACTTAGCTCTGCAGGCCCACCACAGCCAGCACCCCGGGGACTCGCTGCTGCCTTCTCCAGGGCTGCCAAGCCCCTTCTTGGCTTTCTCCTTTATAAAATGTGTTGAAAGTGTCTGTTTTATGATGCAGTTTTACGGCTCTGTAGAGTCCTCATGGCCCTGGATTGTGGTGACCATGTTTGGTACCTCTTTCCCTCTTTAGACCCTAAGCTCCTTGAGGGGAGGGGTCCTGTCTTTGCCCTCTCTGTGCCAGGGCTGCAGCCAGGACCTGCCGGGTAGTAGGCTTGCGGGTGAATTTTAACCCTAGTACTCACATGAGAGGGAGGAGGCAGAGGAAGAGCAGCGCAATTACAATTCCCGCATAGATAGCACCCTGGATCAGCCCTTTCACGAAGGCCTGGGAAGCCAAAGAACTCTTTCCTGGAAGCAGAGAGCATGAGAGAAGTTTGGCATTGGAGCCAAAACTCTGCTCCATTCTCTAGCCCCAGTGACTGTCCCCATCCCACTTATTGTCCTCACCCAGTCACCCAGCCCCCTCCACCCTCACTTGACATCAGTAGGATGCTCAAAGCGTGGGTTCCGTTTTGGTTCTTCCCCTCACAGAGAAGTCTCATGCCCATTTCTGGCTCTTCGGTTAGGCTGATGGTGCTGTTAGCCCAGGGGCCAAGCACGGTGGAGGTCACTTGGAGGCTGCCATCCATGCCATCCACACCCACGGGGACTCCTCCCATCCACCACTGCACAGAGGGTGTGGGAATCCCATGGAAGGAACAGCTGCACTGCAGTGTCTTCTCCAAGGAGCAAGAAGAGTTGAGCAGCTTAGCAGGTACTGTGGGGAGGAAGGGTCAGGAGTCAGCAAGGCATCCTGACTTCCCTCTTCCAGTTTCTCCAGGATGCAGCCTTCTCTTTATTTGCTATTCACAAGGAGTTTCCGAAGGACTTTCTGGAAGCCCACAGGATTCAGGCCTCACAGACTAGTTCCCCTCTATCTTCTCCCCTCATCTGGCCTGAACCTGATCGCTAGACCTTCTTGAGGGGTGGCCAGTAAATTTTCTGAGACTCTACATTGTCTGTGATCCCTCACCTACCCCACAAGGCTAGATGTCCAAGCCAGCGCTCCTACTCTGCTTCTCTTCTTCCCACCCGCAATGTTCCTCTTAGGGTCTGTGATCAGTTCTCCCTCCATCACTTACCGTCTGGATGCTGCTGGGCAAGTCACTCCCCTTATCATTGCTGTTTCCTAGCCTGGAAAATTGGGATATTTGCTGAACCTATCTCATATTATCATTGTTATAAGAATGAATGCCCCAAGATTTGTAGTGCACCCAGCTCGGTGCGTAGTGAAGTGTTACCCATTCAATAAGTAGAACACCTTTCTCAATTTCCTTCTTCCTGGTCCCAGGTGGCCTTTGGTGGAATATTCACTGGAAGCCAAGAGTACTGTGGTATCTTCTGTGTAAGAATGTTGGAAACTGCCTCGCTTTACTTAGAATAGGTAGGACATGGTGGCCACTTGATGAATATCATGGATTAGGAAGGAACGGTCACATCCATCAGGGTCTCCAAAATGAGGAATCTGTCTTCAGTGTTGACACATACTTTTTCATTGAAGTTTTTTGAGGTTACTGGAAGAAAGGGGTAATTTTCCCCTAACCAGTAGCTCCTGATCTTGGTCTCTTCACGTGAGTCACTTGCGGGGTGCTGTTGAGGAATTTGTGGGGGACTCTCATGCATGGCCCCCTCTATGGCTGTCCTCTGAATTGTCTTTTCCATCTGGCAAAGTGTGCCCGTGGAAACGCTGAAAAACTTAACTTCAGGGCTTCCAGTAATGTCTGAAACAGCTCTTGGTGCTCTCATGCCTTCATAGCACCCGTACCCTCAATCCCTCTCCATTGCCCAATTTGCTATTTGCTTCAGACACCCCAGTCCTGTCAAAATCTGACACACAGAAGATGTCTAATTCACATTGATTATTTGGTACTTATGCCCTTATGTCCTCTTTCTCTGTGCCTCCATAGTCCATCCTCTGCCCCTGCCAACACCCAGGCCCTGGAGTCTTGGCTTCCAAACACCCCTCCAGTGCTGCTTCTCACCTTACTTACCCAGCTGTAGCAGTGGAAGCATCACTTGCAGCAGCAACAGTTCTCAAGAATAGCAGAAGCTCTTTCCTACGCTGGTTCTGACATCAGAACCATATGGTTCAGAAGGAGTGAGGTGATGGGTAACTGAAAGAGGATGTGGGGATAGGGAGAGCAGAAAGTATCTTTAGCCAAGTCAGGGGCTTCTGTCTCTGGTCAATATGAAGGCCTGTTCACCTGGAGAAGCAGGAATTATATGGGATGAGATGCTCATGAGCATGTAGGGACAGGGAGGCAACTAAGATAGTCTGTGAAGCCTCAGTGTCATGTCTCCTTAATTCTTTGTTTTATTTATTTATTTATGTGTTTACTTTTATTTATTTATTTATTTATTTGACAGAGTCTCACTGTGTCATCCAGGCTGGAGTGCAGTGGTGTGATCTCAGCTCACTGCAAGCTCCGCCTCCCGGATTCACGCCATTCTCCTGCCTCAGCCTCCCAAGTAGCTGGTATTACAGGTAACTGCGACTACAGGCGCCCACCACCATGCCTGGCTAATTTTTTGTATTTTTAGTAGAGATGGGGTTTCACTGTGTTACCCAGGATGGTCTCGATCTCCTGACCTTGTGATCCACCCGCCTTGGCCTCCCAAAGTGCTGGGATTACAGGCATGAGCCACCACGCCCAGTCTATTCTTTGTTTTATTTTTGTTTTTTGAGACAGAATCTTACTCTGTCGCCCAGGCTGGAGTACAGTGGCTCGATCTCGGCTCACTGCAACCTCCGTCTCCCATGTTCAAGCGACTCTTCTGCCTTAGCCTCCCGAGTAGCTGGAATTACAGGTATTCACCACCATGGCCAGTTAATTTCTGTATTTTTAGTAGAGATGAGATTTCGCCATGTTGGCCAGGCTGGTCTCAAACACCTGACCCACCTTGGCCTCCCAAAGTGCTGAGATTACAGGCATAAGCCACCATGCCCGGCTTGTTTTTGTTTTTGAGACAGGGTCTTTCTGTCTCTCTGTCACCCAGTGTGGAGTGCAGTGGTGTGATCACTTAAGATAGAAAAGTGTTGACATTCTCTCAGGAAAAATATGATAATGTTTAGTTTGGTGAGAAGTGTAAAACAACATCTCCCCACCACAGTATAATTGTTTTCCCATAAAATTTGAAATGAATGGTGTAAGTAATGTTATATAGCATGGCACAATGTTCCTGTTTATATCCCATGTAGATATTTATTTAATAAATTTGTTCTCAGTAAATTTCTATTAAAAAAAGAGACAGCACGGGACCCTGTCTCAAAAAAAATGGTCAATTCCAATTCCTACTGGATATCATGACTTAAAAATCCATAGTAATTCCAGCCTGGGCAACATGGTAAAACCCCGTTTCTACAAAAAATACAAAAATTATCTGGGTGTGGTGGTATGCACCTGTAGTCCAAGCTACTTGAGAGGTTAAGGTGGGAGGATCACCTGAGGTGGGGAGGTCAAGGCTGCAGTCAGCCGTGATCACACCACTGCACTGTAGCTTGGGCAACAGAGTAAGACTCTATCTCAAAATAAGTAAGTAAGTAAATAAAATACATACATACATAGTAATTCAGAGTATATGGTATTGACACAAGGATAAATAAAAATATCAGTGGGACAAGCTATATGGTTGAGAAAAATACCTATACATACATGATCACTTGGTTTAGGATAAATACGGCACTGCACAGAAGTGGTTGAAGGACTCTCTTTTGAATAAATTGTGTCAGAATAACTGGATAGCCATACAGCGAAAGGAAATAAGACCTCTACCTCATGTCATACATAAAAATAACTTCCAGGGACATTGGGACACTGTTCTAGAACTGTGCTGTACGAAGAAATATAATGTGAGCTACAAATGTGGACTACATGTATAATTTTAAATTTTCTAGTAGCCACATTAAAAAAGAAGAAATGGTTAAAAATAATTTTAAGGTGTTTCATTTAACCTAGTGAAAGAAACCTAGGTTATTCACTAGGTTATTCATATTGAACCTAACCCAATATTTCAACATGCAGTCAACACACAATTGAAAGATTTGGTAACATTCTTTACACACTCTTCAAAGCCTTGTATATATTTTACACTTACAGCACACTTCAATTCAGACTAGCCACAATATAAGGGCTCAGTAGCCATATGTAGTTAGTAGCTACCGTATTGGTCAGCGGAATTCTTGAATACAACATAGGAGAGTATCTTGGTAAGTTTTAGGTAAGCAAAGATTTCTTTAAAAGGGCCACAAAGCACTAGCTATGAGGAAATACGGATAAAATAGACTATATCAGAATTAATTTCTGCATCAAAAGACACCATTAAGAGAGGACAAATGCAAGTTACAGGGCTGGAGAAGACACTTGCAACACATACAACATGCTTGCATCCAGAATATAGCAAAGATAAAGAGGGTAATGAATGGTGTAGTACATGAGTGGAGTGTTTGGGGTGTTGTTAATGTTCTATTTCTTGACCTCAATGATGGTTACACTGGCCTGCTCCCTTTGTGATAATCTGATTGTATGCTTACTATCTGTAGTAATACTTCTCTGTATAAAATTGTACTTTGATTTAAAAGCTTGTTTGAAAATAAAGACAGAGAAACAGAAAGGATACAAAAGGGAATATAGAACGGTTGGGACAAGTAGAGATCATGTATCTGGATGTTAGATTTAAATTCCAGTATATCAATGATTTAACTAAATATAAATGGCTTAAAATTATCCAGTTATGAATCTAAGATCACCATATTGGAAAAAAGAACCAAAGCCAAACTCTATGCTGTTTACAAAAGACACAACCAAAGCATAAATGTAAAGGACAGTTAAAAAACCAAAGAATGAAAACATATACCAAGCAAATACCAACCAGAAAACCAGGTAATGTAGACATACCTACGTTAACATCCCATAAAGCAGACTTTAAGCAAGAGGCATTACCAAAGATAGAATGGCACATCTCCTAATGATAAGAGGACATTAACAGGAATAAAGTATATATTTAACATTTGTGTTTGCCTACTAACATAGACCAAAAATATATAAAGCAAAAAAATCTACAAAAATAAAAAGAGAAACAGGCATCCACAATAGTAGTGTGGCATTTTAATCACTTTTCTCTCAGAAACTGATAGAACAAACAGACTATTGGAATATATAAGGATTTCAACAACTTCATCAGCAAATTTGACCAAAAATATATAGAGAATACTGCATTCAATAACTGCAGAATACAATTTCTTTGTAAGCACACAGAGAACATTTACAGAAATTGACCATAGCTGGATCATAAGACAAACCTTAACAAAATTTCCATGAAAATATTTAAAATCTCATTAATAACCAGCAAAATGTCTGTTAAAACCATGAGATACTAGTACATATCTAGCTGGATATTTTAAAAGACTGACAGTATATCAAGTCTTGGTGAGAATGTGGTACTCAACTTTCACACACTATTGGCGGAAATATAAATCAGGGCAACAAAGTTATCAAAGTAGAAGATACACATACTCTATGACCCCCAAATTCCACTCCCAGATATATAGTTTATAGAAATGTTTGTGCACATGTATGCCAAAAAAATCATGCAAAAATGTTTACAGTGGTATTATTTAAAAATAGCTAAAACGTTAAACAATCCAAATACCAGTAAACACAGAATTTTAAAAAATGAGATACTACACAGCATCAAAAACCTATGAGCTAATGCTAGATGCAACAACATGGCCCATCCTTACAAATAAAATATTGAATTAACAAAGCCAGACACAAATGAGTAACAATGTATGGCAGCATTTCTCTAAAATTTGAAAAAAACTGGGCAAAAATCAAGTGTTTAAGAACGCAGGCACAAGTCGTAAAAATCCTTTAAAAGTTGCCAAGAAATGTCCAGCATAAAAGGTAGGATATTAATTGCCTTTGTGGGAGGAAGGAGATCTGTTTCTCTTTTTACTTTATTATTTGTAGGGGGTATGAACAGGTCTTTTGAGATACTGGCTATAGTGAATTCCATAAGGCTGTACCCTATATAGGCGTCCTTTTAATAGTACAGTTTTCCATTGCCCATCTGCCTGACCATATGGCCAGGCCATTGGCCACTGCCCATGAATTGGTAAAAACCCAAACATAGAGGCAATTCAGCCCACTGAAGTGACTTGTTTTTACCTTCCTCAATACGAGTGTCAGTCTTCCAAACAGGATGCTGTTAATTCACTTTGGAATTGCCATCCATAAATCAAACAGCTCTTAGTGGGTCAGTGGAGACCTATTAATAGACATCATCCAAGTAATAATAGGATCTAGCAGCTCTTCAGTAGGGAAAAAGAGGCCACCTGTTCATAAACATAACGAGCACCTCCTTGCATTTCTCTGGTAGCATGTTCGTGTATAAACAATTTCCATTTTATTATGAGACTCTTTTGGGCATGGCCTTTCTTATCACAGTGTTTTTCCAACATTACAAACACATCATGAGTATTTCAGGTGTCAGGATTATTATGTCCTTCCATGACAGGGCAGACTCAAAGCCCAATAGGCTAGTTGTCTGTCAAACGGAAATTTTCTGGCCCCAAATCCCAGCATTCACCACTAGGTGGTGCTCACTGGCCTTCGCTCCAGTCTGCCTAAATAAACCAAACATTAAGCTTCTAACATGTTTTGTCCACCAGATACCCTGTACTGTTTCAAATGAATAATTAGTGTGGGCTTAGGCAATCTTATTGGTTCCTATTTAGCATGTTCAATCAATATTGGCTGAAGGGAAGATTTACATGCCTTCTGTTTTATTAGGGGAACTCTTCCCCAGTTGGACACAATATCCTTTCTCATAATACATTTAGGTAAATATATTCACATAATACATTCACACAGTCTGTCCAAACATTCCAATTTTCATCCAAAGTTTCACCTGAATCTCGTCCACTTTTGCAATCCTATGTCTTCGCAATCTAACCATAGATGCTATTAGAATTTCACCAACCTTTTTGGAATCACAGTGTATAAGGCTCCCACATGAGTCCCAGAAATATCTCTTATCCACCCCCTGACTATTTTACCGCTAATGTGCCTATGACTTTGGGTCCTCAGTTAGGGGTCAGGCCAAGCAACCCAGGCCCTTTTGTCATTTATCTTGATTAGATCACAAGTTCGTCCCCTCAGGAGATCTGAGGTCAGATTTCTCATTGTCATGTTTGCCTTCTGGC